TGGGTGACTGGAATAGGGTTTTAGACCCAACTATAGACAAAAGAAGTTCCTCTAAAACTTTTATTCAAACTAAACTACCTATGACTTTCTTTGATTTGAAGAAAGAACTGGAGCTTATTGATATTTGGCGAGAAAGGAACACAAGTGATAGAGACTTTACTTTTTATTCTGATAGACACCAGTCATTTTCAAGGATTGATTTCTTTTTGATTACTAGTGACTTCCTCCCTAGAGTGAGGAAGGTGAAAATTTTTCCCAGGACATTGTCAGATCATAGTCCTGTGTGGATGGAGTTATATTCGGAAGACGGGAATAGAAGATCCTGGAGACTGAATGAGAACTTATTTAATCGGGAGGAGTTCGTACAAAAGTATAAAGAACATTTAAAGGACTTTTTTACTATACATATGAATAAGGGAACATCGATGTCTATGGTGTGGGACGCTAGTAAAGCATATATGAGGGGAATTCTGATTCAATTGAATAAAGTTTTTAGGGAAAAAGGGTCACAAAGACGTAGAGAAATAGAAGAAGAGATCAAATCAAAAGAACAAGAGTTGGTTCTTAACCCTACTGATAATAATTTAAAGGTATCTATAAAGATGCTTAAGGAACAATTTAACATGTTGATGGCAGATCAGGTGGCTACCAATCTGTCGTATATGAGACATAATACTTTTTGCAATGCGAATAAGCCTGGGAGGTGGTTGGCTTATCAGTTACGAAAGAAACAGAAAGCTAGAATTATAGAGAAAGTAAAATATAAAGGTACTGAGGTTTTTCAGCAAGATTTGATTAGAAAAAGCTTTTTGGACTTTTACACAAAATTATATTCAAGTGATAATATAAGGGGTTTGGATATAGATAAATATTTACAATCAGTACATTTTCCTAGACTTTCAGAGGAACAACAAAATGGGATGAATAGTTTAATTACTGTGGAGGAAATTGGTTTAGCTATTAAGCAGTTAAAGGTTGGAAAGTCTCCTGGAACAGATGGACTGACTTCTAGGTATTATAAGATCTTATCTGAAGAAATGATAGAGCCATTAAAGGAACTCTTTAATAGTATTTTGTTGGGTATGCAAGTTCCTCCTTCTTGGAAAAGAGCCTTTATATCACTGATTCCGAAGGAAGATCAGGATCTTACAGAGCCTAAGAATTATAGGCCAATTTCATTATTGAATGTTGATTATAAGATCTTTACAAAAATTTTGGCAAATAGATTAATGCAGGTTATGAAAGACTTGATTCATAGTGATCAAGCAGGATTTATAACAGGGAGATATATGAAACATAATGTTAGACAAATTATTAACTTAATTGAGTACTTGGATAAGAATAATCAGATTCCTGTGGCTTTTATCTTTTTGGACGCTGAAAAAGCTTTTGATCAATTGGACTGGCAATTTTTATTTTCTTTGGTAGAGAAAATGAATTTTGGGGATAATTTTTTACATGCACTTAAAGCTATATATCAGCAGCAATCTGCACAAATTGTTGTAAATGGGGGATTGACTGAGAATTTTAATATTCAAAAAGGGACAAGACAAGGATGTCCATTATCCCCATTGTTATTTGTTTTAACATTGGAAATTTTATTGATTCAGATTCGGGAATCGAAGTTAATTAAGGGTGTAAAGATAAGGAAGAATGAGTATAAATTGCGGGCATTTGCGGATGATTTGGTTTTAATTTTGGAACAGCCGAATCAGGCGATTGATGGTTTATTAGAACTTATAACACAGTATGGGAATGTTTCTGGTTTTAAAGTTAATAATTATAAGACTAAGATATTATCTAAGAATATGTCAGTTAAAGAAAGGGAAAGTTTGATTAAAGCCACAGGTTTTCAGATGGTAAAAAAGGTTAAATACTTGGGAGTATATCTAACTGCTTCAAATGGAAAATTGTATAAGAACAATTACGAACCACTATGGGCAAAAGTCCAAAAGGATTTAAGAGATTGGAAAAAATTGCAATTGTCATTGTTGGGGAGAATTTCAGCTGTAAAAATGAATGTTCTACCAAAGTTTCTTTTTTTGTTTCAGATGATACCTATTCTTAAAAAAGAGGCAAATTTGGAGGAATGGCAAAAGGGTATCAATAATTTTATATGGGCCGGGAAGAAACCAAGGGTTAAATTTAAGATATTACAGGATGCTCGAGAAAGAGGGGGACTTAAGGCACCTAATTTGAAATTATATTATGATGCAGCCGCCCTAACTTGGTTAAGTGATTGGCTTAATTTAACAAATATGGATATTCTTTTTTTGGAAGGTTGGGATTTAATATATGGTTGGCATGCATATTTAATTTTTAATAAGAAAGTTGATCGGACTTTTAAATCACATATTTTGAGGAATGCCTTACTTCGTGTTTGGAAGAAGTATTATTATAGATTAAATTATAAAATACCTATCTGGGGGATTCCCAGACATGCAATTGAGGGAACTTCTAAGGGGACAAATTTTGATAAAATCTCGTACAAAGAATTGTTAATTTGTTCTGATTCGAATTGGCATTTGAAATCCCTAGATGTATTAAGGCAGCAAAATATTCTACAGTCATGGTTTCAATATTTACAAATAATGGATAGATGGACTGTAGACAAGAAAGAGGGAATAACACTAGAAGATAGACAATTGGTTATTCAGATTAAAAACCAAGGTCCGGCTCATATAAAAAGAATATACAATGTTTTATTAGAGTTAGATTCGGAAACAGAATTGGTTAAAGACTGTATGATTAAATGGGCTCAGAATATACAGGAGCCGATCTCATTGGATTTATGGGAGACAATTTGGATAAGAAATGTTAAATTTACACAAGCTCAAAATTTGAGAGAAAATTTTTATAAAATGTTTTATAGATGGCACTTAGATCCTAAAAAATTATCTTGTATGTATTCCAACATACAGCCCAAATGTTGGAGATGTGGCAATAATGATGCGACATACTTTCATATTTGGTGGAACTGTAAAAAAGTAAAGGCTTTTTGGATTATGATTTGGTGGAACATTCAAAAGATTTTTAGAAAAAAGATAAAGTTTATTCCTCAACTATTTTTACTTGGTATTTTTGTTGACTTAAATGAAAAAGAAACTACTTTGATGTTGAATTTATTAACTGCAGCAAGGTTACTAGTAGATTTATATTGGAAGAAAGATTCCTTGCCTACTTTAGAAGAATGGATATTTAACGTATCTAGTTTTGCAGAAATGGCAAAAATTTCTGCTTATTTAAAGGATCATTCACAAGAAAGATATATTACTGTATGGGGAAGGTGGATAGATTATATTCAGAAAAAGTATGGAATTAAAAAGTTTCATTTATTTTATGAATGAATATCAAATATTATAGAGAATTGTTTTATAGGTTATGGAGTTAAAGGTTAATTATGATATTTTTTCCCTCTCTTTTTTTTTCTTTTTTTTCTTAATTATTATAATTTTCTTTTTTTTAACCCTGTATTCTGCTCTGGGAAGTGAAGGGAGGGGGGTTGGGGGTGGGAGGGAGGGTAAGGGGGGGGGTTTTCTATTTTAAAATTTTATTGTATTTTTATAAATGATTGTATGTTTTAAAAAATAAAAAATTTTCAATAAAAAAAACAAGTTGTTTTTTGTAAATTTAATATAGGGAAGTATCCAGGTCACTTTTTCAGTTTGTTATTTGTATATCTCTTTTAATTATTAAGACATCAACCAGTTTCATTAGTATATCCGGTGTGGCATCCTTTTCTTGTAGCCTGTCGCAGTCTTCACCAGTAAAACCTGTTCCTCTTCCACAACATTATTTAAATTCAGTGCATCCATAGAGGCAGACACCTTTAAAATTAATTTCTGGATCCACTGTTCAAAAAATATACCTCAATATGTTGAATGTTAAAATATTTTGCTCCATTCTAGTAGGTCAAATTTAAGTGTTCTTCTCTTTTAATTGTAATCTTTGGGGTTAGAGATAATGATCTAGTTTAGAAGTAAGAAAATTGTAACTATATATATGTATGTGTAATGTTTAATTAATTAAGAGATATTTGTGTATGATGATACAATTTGGTAAGATATGATAATATTGTTTTTTTAAATTAAATTAGCTATTATTGGAAGAAGAAATAAATAAAAGGGATGAGAGAGATTAAGAACTTGAATATATTTGCAAGAGATATTTGAAGGGGTAATATGTTGTTGTAATACATTATTTGATTATGGTAATTGAAATTGATAAGCTTTTAATAAACAGGTTTAGTAGTAATAGAAACTTAGGATAGAAATGAAATATATTAAATTTATTATGTTATTTGAGGGAAATAGAGAGATGATAGCGAGTGTATTAAGTTGAGCTGTTATTTTGTGATTTTATGTTGGAATTTTTGTGTACCCAAACACCACGGTGTGTCTCAAATACTTTTTGTTAAAATTATAAAACCAATAAAATATATATTTTTAAAAAAATTGTAATCTTTGGTTTCTCCTGGTTCCCTCTAGTGCAGGGGTCCCCAGCCTGTGGGCCGTGGCCCACTACTGGGCCGTGGCCTCTTGGCTACTGGGCCATGTGGATGGCCTCCCCCGAGCATCACACAGGAATAACCTTGTACCACGCATCACCCAAGCGCTAGCTCCGCTCTGAGAATTGCGCACACACTTTGCACTGCCCGTTTGCATCACACACATGCATGTGGCCCTATGCCTCCTCTTCTTTTCCCTCTGGGCCACCAATGTAGAAAGGTTGGGGACCTCTTCTCTAGTGTCCAGCTTTCAAAGTTCCATCAGGATTTTTTTTAAAAAAAGAATTCAAAACAATAGCATTTTGCCACAGTAGAAGTTTTACAATTAATTCTAAAGTCTTATTTCAAATTGATCTGGATCCTTGATCCATTTGTAACTTTCCAAAATTGGTGTTCTAATCACCCTTTTGCAGTTTATTCCCCTAAAATATTTTTTTACATTTTTTAAATTTGTATTTAAAATATCTTTCACTAAGGATTGAAGGAGACTCACCTGGTACCATAAAAAGTTGTCACTCCAGAAGTTCATAATAGCTGAAAAGCAATTAACCATCAAATTCAGAAGGTCATTAAAAAAAAGAAAGCATGCAGATCCTGTGTCCACAAAAGCACCAACCATAATTTGAGCAAAGACGGCTTTCTCTCATCTTACACACCTCTAAACCCACCAAAGCCTGCTGTCTTGCAATCTCCTTGTGAGGGACCCCTGTCTGGAGCACTTCTGTACAATCTCAAGTTCTCTGCTTGTCCAGAGAGAAATTAGAAGTAGCCAGCCACTCACCAGCTCTTCATTCTGATGTGGTCTTTGGCTCCACATTTAGTGGAGCTGTCTTCGCCATTTCTTCTTATGAAAGGATATTTGTAAATATATAAATAAAGCCATTTTGCACAGCATAAAAACACCTTAAGAAATAATTAAAGGCCAACATATAATTAAGAAAAGTATGTGTCTATATTATGCTTCTACCATTTATCAAGGTTCTTAAGAAAGAAAAGGAAAATTGAGATGTACAAATGTATATATCTGCTTAAATCTTGAAAAGGTTAATAAAGTTTGTACTTAAAGAAATGTAATTATTTCTAATGTTGGAAGACATTTTTTCTAAATGGAATTCCTCAAGAAATTATTGGCAAGCATTGTTGACAAACTAGTACATCATGCGGCCTATATTAGTTAAACTTCACATTTTATTTGCAGTGCTTGCTATTTGAAACCAAATAGGAAAGAAGTAATTCTTTTCATGGATGCCATCTTAATTTAAAATGTTATCAATGAAAGACAATGATAAAATCAAGTAAGCAACTTAAGTAAAATAAAAATGAATGAGTGATAAAGTTCTACCTAGCTGCTCATAATAGGCAGCTTATTATGAATCCCCACAATACAAATAATAAGGATATATTTATGTTACAGAATGTGTGGATAACCTTGTTCTCTTAGTTCAGACATGTCAAACACAAGGCCTGGGGGCTGGATGCGGTCCACGACATGGTTTCATGTGGCCCACGAAGCCATCCTGGAAACAGTGAGGGAATGGCCCTCGCTGCCTTGGCCCTGGCCTAGGCCGCCCGGGAGCCAATGTACAATTTTGTGGTGGCCATCTATGCGGAAACGCATTCAGTCTTAGCTCCACAAGGCCATCTGGAAACAGCAAGGGACCGGCCCCTGCCGTGTTGGCCCTGCACCCTGGGCGTGCACTGGGGACGTGTCACCCTTTGTGAGGAATGAAGAAATGCACCATCACCTGGAAGTGGCCACCAAATGGCCCTCGCCTACTTCACATATCTGACTTGATGGACTCCGGGGGAGGGGTTTCAGCAGGCAGTGGGGCGCTATCCTCACAGCGCAGAGAGGCTGAGCCAAGCGGTGCGAATCATGAGCCAAGCGGTGCGATGGTGTTTGGTTTACAGTAATTTATTTGGATAATAAAGCTCTTGCCTTGACTTCTAATATCTTTATCACCTAAAAATATTGATAATAATAATAACTACAATCTATCTAAAAATGAATTTAGTAGCCTCGTGCCTATAATTTTGGAGGAAAATAGTTCCACTGAGTACCAAGAGGAATAGCAATTGTAGCAAGCTCAGATGAATTCTGAGATATGCGAAGATAAAATTAAAAGTGAAGGAATTCTACCCTGTAAAAGTCCTTTGACACTGAAAATGCTCACTGGCCTCTAGCAGTTGCTATAAACTGGGTATCCATTCAGCAACAAATGTCAAACTCTGAGAGGAGAGAAGTGGCTTAGCTGAATCTCTAAGAGTTTATAGCAGCTGCCTTCCTCCAGCTGATGTCTTCCAGCTATGTTGAACTACAATACCCATCATTCTTATCTACTACATGTAGAAGGTAAAATGTTGGAGAAAGTCGGTTATATTAACTTGCACAAATGCACAACTAATTACAGGTATATATGTCTATACACTTTACAGAAAAAGCACAGAAAAGAAGAAAGAACTTGTAAGCTAAAAAAGTTAGACACAAGAAGAAAAAAAGGAAACATGGCTTAGACTAATTTACACTTACAACATAACTATACATGTCTTTCTGTCTTCCATTCCATACATTTTCTTTGGTTCTTTAAACATCTCACCTCTTTTTCAGACTCTCACCAACTCCATTGAACTACAACTTTCTCAGACTTTTATTTCCTCTAGATTTGTTCACTCCTCCTTTATAGTTTTGCAGTTATACCAATTTGATCTTCAATCTTCCTCCCTGTGTGATCAAATCATCTCACCATACTGATTATTCACTTGTACAGCCTATCCACAATCATGCAACACTTGTTCATATGTGACCTTCTCTTCTTGTTTCACCATAAAAAAGTTCTTAAACACAAGTAGTCCTTACAACAGTTCATTTAGTGACAGTCTGAAGTTACAATGGCATGGAAAAAAACTGATTTATAACCGTTTTTCACACTGACAACCGTTGCAGCATCCCCACGATCATGTGAACAAAATTTAGACAACTGACTCATATTTATGATGGTTGCAGTGTCCCAGGGTCATGTGATCACCTTTTGCAACCTTCTGACAAGCAAAGACAATGGGGAAACTAGATTCACTTAACAACTGTCTTACTTAACAACTGCAGTTATTCACTTAACGTCTTTGACACTAAAGGTTGTAAAATGGGGCAAAACTCACTTAACTGTCTTGCTTAGCAAGATAAATTTTGGGCTCAATTGTGGAGGACTATCTGCACCCCATTCCCATTGCGCTTAACTTATGTTGTTTCTGATGTACCCAACTCTCATTCTATATATCAAGATTGGCGAATGTACTCTAGTATATGCTATTTTTATTTATTTCAACATTCATTCCTCATAACAAACTACTGTATGTCCTATCCATTACCTTTCTAGACATTTTTAAGCAGCTATTCACCAGTCACCTTTTTCATGTATTCTTGAGTCTCATAATAGCTCATTCTTGATGTGTTTGTCTCAGTCCCACCTACATATTTATGTCACCTTAGCAGATTACTTGTTCTCTCTGGGTTGCATTAATTCAGACTATTGCACAATATTTCCAAAAAACATATCTAGCTTTTCCTTTATCATTATTCACTGAAGTGTAATGCTCAGCTATAATTAACCTATGGATTTCTATTTTCATACACACCCACAACAACCTAGAGAAAACAAATTCATATTTTCTGACACACATATTAGCCCTTTCATTGACAAATAAACCTACACCTTCGCTTCAAGATCAGACAACACACATTTAGGGGTTTTACATGCTTTTTCTTACACTTCACATCATACACACACACAAAACATATTTTTTCATTCATTGGTGAGTTCAGGTTTATATTTATCCCTCTTGCATTCCCAACTTTTTTACATGATGGTAATCACTAAATGGGCCGTTTAGATATTAACTGCATTGCTCATCATATTAGTCAAATGAGTGTCAAGGGTGAAACTTTGGCAGCTACGTGCCTCTGCGTTTCACATAAAACTTTTTAATAAGTTGGGGAAGATGTAGCCCAGCTTATGAGCTTTAACTGATAAACTGGTACCTCTTACCACATGCAACGTTTCCTACTAATAGCGATGACAGTGCTAGCTACTTTTGGTCTATTGTAGCCAGTACACCACAAGTGCAACTAAAAACCAGATTTACCTCAAGGATTCTCACAGTTTTCTGCCCAAACCAGAAACTACAATTCAGAGACTGTCTTACAAGCAAAGTACTTTTTCTCACATCCAACCAGTTAAGATATATATGTAATACACTGCCACATTTATAACTAGCTGATTACCGTAACACTGAACAGGACTTTTTCTATTTGGGAAAGAAGGATATACATACAGTATTGCAGCCTGAGATAGCATGTCCCATTATTTATTTATTTGTTTGTTTGTTTGTTTTTTATTTCATTTGTGCCAATGAATGGAGATTCACAGAGAGATAGCAGCAGCAGGAGCAAAAACAATGAGAACAAGGACTCAAATGAAATGCCCCAGAATTTGAGGCCCTGTATTAAATCCAGCGACTCGTTGATTGGTGCACACTGATCCAGGCATTGCCACACAGTCAGCATTTTTCCTTTCTGTTTGTTGCTGTGTTGCAGTCAGGGGATATTCTCGCTGCCAAGCTACTGGAAAGAACATTGGCTTGGTGGGCATTGGAAATGGAAGGTGACACCCCCTTTGCCCTCGCGGACAGAAAGCCCTGTGGTACAGTGATTCAGGCATGGAGTTATAAATGGCTCTAGCAGAACAAACGTGCAGTGGCTGTGAATGAGAAGGCTTGTTTGTTGGCTCGCTGGGGGAAAAGAAAACCCTAGAGGCCACTAGAAGATGAGGAGGGGGAGAGAGTCTATCAGTCAGAGATATCTTTATTAATATCAAACAAATGTTGGAGGGGATGGGAAGGGAGTAAAAACCAAGCATGAAGTAGGAAAGTAAAGTTTCAGAGAATTTTTTGCCATATCCACTGATTCTAAACTATTGAAAGCTGCTGATCTTTTTTCTAGATTATGGTTCTGACTAGGATTTCCCAGTGTGCTTCCCAAATCAGCTGTTTCTGGTATGAGGGTGAAAGAGAAAGAAAGAAAGAAAGAAAGAAAGAAAGAAAGAAAGAAAGAAAGAAAGAAAGAAAGAAAGAAAGAAAGAAAGAAAGAAAGAAAGCAAGCAGGGGGTGAGGGGGAAACCACTGGGGGATGGGAATTGACAGGATAGGGCCTCAGCCCAGCACTTCACAGTGTCAGGCAGTGCACTGCCAGTCTTTGATCAGATGGGTGCATCTTCTCCAGCCTCCTAATCTTTGAGTGGGAAGCATCTTTCATTGCCCAGCATTCTGTTTTGTTATGATTTCTGCTAAAATAACGTCTTCCCTCTCTTTGGGGGAGGGGGAATAGGGAATCTAACTTGCCTGCCTGGAAAGACAGTCCCATAACAATCTACTGCAGGAAAGCCACCTTTTTTTGCCCTCCCCAGTCATCCAGCTAACAATCTGCTGGCTGAAAACAAAAGACTCTGAAACAACAATGCAATTTTTAAAAGGAAAAGCAAAGCAAAGAAGTCACTCCTTGGCTTTCAGACTGCAAGAATGGCTCCCCACATCCCTCCCGGTTACAACAAAGGCAGCACTCACAGAATGGTGCATTTTGGACATCAGAGGTGAAGCTCGGCAGATTCCACAGCAGGGCTAAAAGAGGAGAGCCATCCGTCGGCCTTTCTCAGTACTGGTTGCACCGCATACAGGATCATGTTTTGATTACAAAAGCCCTGCCTGGGCTCCCAGCCAAAAGCACCGGCTGCCTCATATACGAAAGCAGAGGCAGGCAATCAAAGCGTATGTATCCTCCTCTTCATTCGCCTTTCAGTGAGAATGTACCTCGCCTTTGCTTCTCCCCGTGATACCTTTACAGTTCTGGTTGTCAGAGTCCACACATGGCGCATTCCGACTAGCAGGAACTGGAAAGACTGGGAGGGTGAGGTATCCTTGCCCACCAAGAGCCAGACTCCACATTCTTGGCACTTATTTGCATCGTGGGTTAAACGTACAGATGATTGTTAGGCGAATGCTCACAAAGGTTTGGAAGATTCTGTCAATCTGCGATCTGTTTTTTGTTTCTTGACAAAAGTTTATGTCAGCAGAGACGGTGAGGTGTTGGAAGCCTGGAGAAAAACAGAATCCTACATTCAACCTACATTCAAAAAGGGGAAGGAGGAGGATCAATGAAATGGCAGGTCAGCTAAAAGTCTATATTTGGCAAGGCACTGGAACAGATTGTCAAGGAGCATGTTTGCAAACCTTTCATAAAGAATGCTATCATTAATAGGTGCCAGCCTGGCTTTCAGGAGCATGTTGTGTCAGATTATTTTTTATGACAGAAGGACTAACTAGCTAGATAGACCAAAGAAATGCTGCAAATGATGTGCATGTTGTTCTTAGTGAAGCGTCTGACAGGAACTCTTGGATGATTATTGGACAAGATAGATAAAATTCAGTCAGATGAGTTTGCAACTGGTTGAGCAAGCCCCTCCAAAGGGTTCTGCAAAGTGGGGCAGTAGTAGTGTCCATCCTGGATGCAGGCAGTAAGAGGTACTTGTGTTGGTGCTGCTGCTCATCAGCTGTTTGGTAGTTAGCATCAGGATGTAGCAACAGAGATGGAGAAGGTGAACTGGTGATGGTGTGGTAGGTTTTAGCTTTTAAGCAGTGAAACCATCTGACTAGTGCAGCGGTAGAAGTTTTCAGATGGGGGTTGAGAGGTATTTGGGATGATTTAATAAAATCCTGCTCTGAGGTGTAAGACACATTCCATTTCACACATTCAGTGAGCCTAGGATTATCTCATCTTCCCTATGTTTAAAAATCACAGATTCATATTAGACAGATCAGTTTATCTAATATAAGATATCCTGTACTTAAAATAATGTATTATTCTGTTCCCCTGGTCAACCTTGGGATGAAACTATTAGGAAGATTAATAATAAGTTGAAAAGGCAGAAGCTTTGGTATGTTTTTTTCAACCCTGGTTTGTTTTCATAAGATTGCAGCCTCCTTGCCCAAGCAGGTTTGGATGTGCCCAGTACACCTTCACTCAGCCATGGAATCTACATCTGTATGAAGTTCAGTTATAAGTCAAGAGTCATAGATAATATATATTGGTTGCCCTGGTTACCCCAACACCCTAGGCATAATGTATGATTATGACTTAGCATGACAGGTGAACTTGTTCTATAAATGGGCAGTGCTAAGCTTCAGGGTTTAGAGACTGCGGTCTATATCAGGGGTCCTCAACTTTGACAACTTATGGACAAGACTTGTGGACTTCAACTCCCAGAATTCCTCAGTCAGATTTGCTGGCTGAGGAATTCTGGAAGTTGAAGTCCACAAGTCTTAAAGTTGCCAAGGTTGAGGACCCCTGGTCTATACAACAGATCTCCTGATGTTTGGCAGGCAACTGTGGCTGGCATTTTTAGAGGCAAGTTGGTCTGCTATGCAGGCTATAAAGACGGGTGCCCAGTCAATGCCTGCTTAGTTGCCTGTGGCCATAAAATTCAACACCAGTATATTATTCTTGAGATCATCATTAAACAAATAATAGCTTCCCAAGATGTATGATTATTTTTTAAAATTATGTTTCTCAAAGAGGCATTTGTTCTTAAACTAAATGGTGGATTCATAGTATCACTGGCGTTCTTCCCTGCCAGATAATGTTATAAACATTTTTCTTTGTATATATTTTTTCTTTTCTTTTCTTTTCTTTCTTTCTTTCTTTCTTTTGGATACCTTCTCACACTTCTATCCCTATTCTCTTTTCATTCTTTATTTTTTGTCTTGATTGTTTATGTTGTTTTTTTATGTACATGCTTTGCAAACTTTAACACAATTATTTGAATGTTACTTTAATATATCTACTTTTATGTCTCATTTCTTTCTTTAGTCTTGTTCTTAAGATATTGCATGGCAGACAAGAATATCACATAGTCCCCCAAAGACACATGGGGGAACAGCAGAAAACTGCTTAACCCAGCCTTGCCCAATTTGTATTCCAGATATGGAGGACTTGATTGCCAGATCCTGCAACCAAGGACTATATTGAATGCAAACTAAAGAAGCATAACCCAACATGACTTGGAAGGCACTAGATTGGAGGAAGTCAGTTTGTTTTACCCTTATTGACCACTATCACCTCCATCAGATTTTTCCACTTAGAGAGAAGATATGAGTCTTCATATTGGTTCCCAGTGGAAATATGAGCAAACAGAATGGGTTAGGTTTGCCTTCTCCCTGTATCATTTGTCCACTAAAATCTATAACCCAACTCAAATATATCAGCAGGAATTTCTGGTGTGCTTAACAACTAACCTAGCTTTAAAGGATTTGCTCTTATTTTTCAAGAGATTTTTTTCCATTTTTATGTTGCTTTCAGATGACCAAAAAAGATCCTATGTACAGTCACACTGACTTTCATTTTATTATGGAATCACATTTTGTCATTTATCATTGTAATTAAAAGGACTAAAGGATGCAACCCGGTATTCAAAATCAGACCCATGGTTAGACATCCTTACTACTCTCCCCCCACCCCCACATCTAATGTATTGACAGAAACAGGTGCAGAGAGTCAGTGTATTCACTCTTTAATCCTCCAAGGGCTGGAGGAGCAAGCTCGTATTACATTTCACACCGGGGCAAGTATTAGGATGGAAGTATGGATTCTGACTTTCAGGCAAAATTTTAAAATGTCACTTCATGTCCCCAAATGTAGGTCATGAGACCTACGTGAGTACGTTCTTTATAACACATTGTTTTTCCCATTGCCTTAATTATTTCTTAGTTCAGTTTATTTGTGTGTTTATTTGTTCACCCACTTGCCTGGTAGTTCACCACAGTCATGGTGATGATGGTGGTGATGATCATTTTTTAGAAAAATAAAAGGAGACTTTGGAAGCATTGCTATGATCTTTGGGCTTCCTTTGGGTACTTATTTGCTTTTGCACTCACATGGCCCAGACTGATGTACAGCTGTGTACCACAAGTAACCTCTACTCTTCCAAGGTCTGTCTGATAGCAAAGTTGCCTAGAGCTCTTGGTGAAAACATTTTAGACATGATGACCTGTATTTTGATACATACATTTTATAAATAACTCAAGGTGGTGACCATACCTTATATTCCTTTCTCCTTTAATTTCACCCACAACAACCCTGTAAAGTGGGTTGGACTTAGAGAGAGTGACTGGTCTAGTTTCCCAGCTGACTTTTTCATGCCTAAGACAGGACTAGAACACACTGTCTCCCAGTTTCTAGCTTGGGGCCTTAACTATTAGACCAAACTATAATCACTAGACTAACTAATGATACCTCTGCCTGGGCCCCTATATTTTTCTTAAGAAATTACTCCAATATTGCCCTAACTCTGATGTGGCTTTGGATGTCTTATATGTTGTTGCCATGAAGTCAAATCAGAGACAGCACAGTTCTTCTGGTGGCAATAAAAGGGCATTATCAACTAAGGATGCAACTCCAATTATGACTATTCTCCTTTTGTGCTGATGCTTTATTCGTAAGTTGTCAAATGTTTCCAGTTACTCAATTCTAATTGCAAAAGAAAAAGAAGGGAATGATAAGGGGAGAAAAACCCTTAAATGTATTTTCTTGTAGCTGCTGCAACCTTGCCTGACTTTGCTTCATTTACAGTAGCTAGGCTGTAGTTAGCTTCTTCTGCCAATTCAACTGGTTGTAGTTAATTAAGATTCCAGTCCTACATACATTCTCCTGAGCAAGCTATAGTTCTAATTACCCTAGAGCGAAAATACCAACAAGTAAGTGTATTCAGAAGAAGATCCAGAAAGTCTAGTCCCTACCTTAAGAGCCTGGCTTTAATTATACACATTTCAAATGAAAGGTAAAGGTTGAAAAATACATCCACCCATTAAAAAAATGACATCACTTTATCATATAGACTGCAGGTAGTATGGGAACAGCAAATTTAAAAGTCTAGAGGCCACACTGTGTTTCAGAATAACATTGTTGTTCCTTTGGGGTTGATTACTGTTTATTGAAACTCAAATACTTTGGCCACCTAATGAGAAGGAAGGGCTCACTGGAGAAGGGCCTAATGCTGGGAAAGATTGAGGGCAACAGAAGAAGGGGACGACAGAGAATGAGATGGCTGGATGGAGTCACTGAAGCAGTAGGTGTGAACTTAAATGGACTCCAGAAGATGGTAGAGGACAGGAAGACCTGGAGGAACGTTGTCCATGGGGTCGCGATGGGTCGGACACGACTTCGCAATTAACAACAACTGTTTGCTTGTATTAAATAAAACGAAAGAGCTCTTGTGGCAAATCAGAAATGGAGAATCCATCCCAGGACCTCAGAAACAAGATCAGGGCCAAACTCTAAACCCTCAGAAATAAAATCAGGTTCAATCCCAATTGCATAACCCCATCAGAACTGAAGACGCTATTCCTGCCCTAAAATAAAGCTGTCAAAATAGAATAAAAACACAAGTAGTCCTCACTTATTAATTGCAGTCTGGCTGCAGTCATTAAGCGAATCACCATGGTTATTATGCACAATATCGTGTGACCACAACCTGTGACTTCCTGCCAGCTTCCCCATGGACATCACTCGTTGGCTGTGATTACATGATCATGGGATGCAGTGACTGACGTAAACGCGCACCAGTTGCCAAGTGGCCGAATTGCGATCACATGACTGTGGAGATGCTATGGCAGCCACAAGTTCAGGGACTGGTCATAAATCTCCTTTTTTCAGAACTGTTGTTACTTTGAATGAGTGTCAAACAAGCAGCCCATAAATGAAGATTAGCAGCATCACTCACCAGGGCAAAAACAAACAAAAGACAGTGAAGGCTCAGCCTCTGCAGCCACCCAGCAGCAGGCCCAACTAAGGAAATTGCAACAATGTACTTGATGGAAAAATCACAGATTTTCTTGTTCTAGCTTAAGGCCACGCACCTATTCTTCCACCATTCATTAGCATGGGAAATAAAGGGTACTTCCAAACACTGCTCTCTCCTTTGAAAAGATGTGAAATAAATATAATTTGACCCACCCTCTGTGGCTATAGACACCAGAGCCTGAGAATTTCCCACTCCTATAAATGTCCTTCCCCTTCTTTTGTTCTTGCTCTTCTTTATGAATCAATGATTGTTGCTTGTAATAAAGTGTGATTTTTTTTCAGTATTATATTCCATCTTTTTAATCTAAAGCTTTGCTAATTCCTTTGCAAGACTAGCAACAAAGCACAAACCACATTTTCCTCTTGAAATGGTATTTCGCATGAGAAATTGTTAGTTGGACTTTCCCACCCAGGGAACTCTCCAGATGTGTGGGAGTTTTACCACAAAGGTTTGTTGATGAAGGCTGGAGTCTGAAACATCTGGGGAGGCATTAACCTGGAAAAGGTTGGATTAAAGTGTACAGTAGCATTTTCTAATCCCATCCTGTCATTACCTGTCTCCTACAGGTAAATGAGTTTCTACTGTGTAATAAGACAGCTGAAAATCTTGTTAGGGAAGGTAAACGTCATCAAATCCTTCTTCTCCTGCAGTCCCTTACATCCTCTTTAAAATCTGCTCCAGAGATTTGAAAGACCCTTCAGAACAGCAGAAGACTCAGTCCCAGGCCTACAAAAGAGAGAGAATACATAGCAGGCCCAATAATACCTGGGAATAATTGTTTGGGCAATGCTGCACATCTTAGGCTTTGTGTATGGCTGCTTCTTTGTAACTTAAATCACTGACTGGCATCATATCAGAACCTCTGAAGGATACGTACGTATACCACTGTTTTGTTATTTTATGGCACCAAAAGAAATAAACCTAATAGGCATTCAGTTGTAAGGGATTTAATTATGAGGTCCCAGACATCTAAGGACATACTATTTAGCCTCCCCAATTTTGTTTTGCCTTATTTTTGCCAGGGGTACATTAAGGAAGAGATAGCACAGCTCATATCCTGATTGGTGATTCACTTTCTTGCTTGATGGAAGGAAGATCCCAATGAACTTTTTTTTCTGTTCAGTGACTGAACATAACACAACTCTGGGAACAATTCCAAGCTGCATCTGATCTTCTCATTGTGGAGGCTCTAAGGTGCCATATAAAGCAGAGGACTGTAAGTCAATTAGGTTGATGGGTCTTCTCGTTGGCTCATCCACTCATTCCTTATTGCATTTATAATCCTGCCTTTTGTCTCAAAAGTTCAAAATAGTCTCCCTTCATTTTATTCTTATCAGGTACTAGACTGAAAAAAGTGTCTAGCCCAAAGTCATCCAGTGAACTCCATGGCTGAGAAGGGAACCAAATGTAGATCTTCCTGGTCTGAATTCAACACTTTAATTACTACTACTATTTACTGGTTCTCATCTTTCGAGTATTTCCTTTGATGCTCTTTGTAGAATATTCTAAAAGAGGGCTGAAGAGAGATTTGTGGGAAAATCTTTTTGGGGGGGGAAAACTTTTAAGTGAGAGAAAAACATACGGAGTGGCTTTTCAAGTCCAGACATCTTGCCTAGAACTGCAGAGATTTTAATTTTGATGGAATCAAAAGCTGCAAACAGATCAAAGAGAACCAAAAGAATCACACTACCCTATCCTGGTTTGCCACAGGACAAAAACAAAAACAACCAGTGCAGCTTTTGTCCAACACCAGAGCTGAATATTGACTGAAAAAGGTCCAGATAACCCATTTCATCCACAGTTCTCTCTAGCTGTAGTTCATGATCTTTTCAACAAACTTTCTTATGAGAAAGCTAGAGATTGGGCAACAATCGTTACAAGATGATGGAGAGAGTAGGAACCATATGAGTAGTCCTCATATTAGTGTGCTGTTTATATGCTTGTGTGGGATGTTAGGGAATATCTACATTGGCACCTACCTGGATTGAAACTAGATGTGGTTTTGGACCTGGATCTGGACCTGAGCTGTGTTATTGGAGGAGGGGCTGCATTACTGTGCTGACCATGCCTACCACATCTGCTGCACCTGTAGACCTGATGGTAATTATGGAGATGGCCCATCAGTATTCTGTGTTTTTTTTCTGCTACATACATTTTATTTCCTTTGGTTTGTCAGTGGCTGTCAGAAGGACTGTGTTGACAGCCAGGTTAGCCAGGCTGGCCATTTTTAGTCAGCAGCAACAGAGGACTGGACATTTCTTGCAGCTGGTTGGGATATTGAAAGATTCTTGACACAAGTTGATGATGGAGGTTCTCTGTCTGCCATGGTGTTGTGCAACCCTGGTTGGACAACTCTCCAACTGAGAGGCCAACCAGGATATCAAGACTTTGGAGGTGTTGGCAGCAACTGGTGGGGTGGAGGAGGCTGACAGTAAAATAACAATGCAACCATCTGACTTATGAACTCAAAATCAAGGAATCAAGCTTTGAAATGCCATAAAAGATAAAACTTTATTGAACACACATCACAGAACTGAAGAAATAAAACCAACTCTGGTTTTCCCCAAGCAAAAATCTGCCTAGTTAACAATTGCTTCCTTTAACCCCATCCTCTGAGTGTTCCCACTGCCCAGTCATATATGTCTTTGTTTTTTATGAGAATGGTCCACTTCTCCATCAGACACCTGTGTTAGTGACCCTGGCATTCTTGTAGGCTTTAACAATCCATGGACAACTTCATAGGTTCCCATTTCTTCCCCATGCTTTCTACCTCTCCCTCCTGTTTCTAAGGCAAGTTGAATAGTGATAGAAGTTAGCAAGCATCTTAGCAATTCAACCTTGACAGACAGGCTGTTATGGATTCCCCTTCCCAGCAGAGGCCATTTTGTCTTTCCTTCAGCTATTCCGAGAGAGAAAAAGGATAATGTGGCAATTTCCACTTCAATATGGACTCTATCTCCTGGCTAGCTTGCCTGTGTTTGTAGACTGTGAGTTTCCATTGAAGATTGATTCTCTCCTCTGGAT